TTTGCAGTCGGCGTGGGAATCAGCGTTTTCATTAGCTGCTCCATCCTGCTCAACTTGGTGTTGAGGAGGAGACGAGATGCGAGGGAAATACAAAAGGTCGTTGACAAGTTCCAGATGACCGAGGACGGTCATACTTCAAGGGGGGAGTAGTTAACACGGTTAATGAGTAAACTTAAGTCGGTATAAGTTCAGGGTCGCTACCCTAGTATTTTATATGCAGATTCAGCATAAAAGCCTTAGGGGCCGTGCCTGGTTCCCAACGGTTTCCCAGTATTGGGAGATATGCAGTTTTTGCTAGTGTCAGCACTTTGCTGGACGAGCGGTCGGCTTGCCGGCCGCGAATAGCTGGAGTAAAATAGAATAAGTTCAGTTTGATTTCAATTATAATAAAGAGCACACGCTCAAGAATCCTACTCCAGCGAAGGCTGCATATTTTATATTGGTTGGCTAGCCTTAAGGGCAGTCAATAACGGAGAAAGTTCTCCCAACATATACTAAACCTATACCAAGCTGCGCAACGAAACGTTGCGCATCACGAGCAGAGAAGATCTCCGCTCCCCTCCCCGATCGAGAGGACGACCAAGTCGGGCTGACGTCATCACCCCTTCCCGTCGGACTGAGGCGTGGGACAACCCAGGGAAATAACTAAAACATAATTTATATTGTATGGTCGGAAATGCTTCATTCTGCCTGTTACATACTTTTCGACAAATCTAGTATCCCCCTTTACTCTTCGAGTAACGGGTATAAAAATTGTGTTCTTGTAAAAATTTTAAGTTTTTTTCAACATGCTATAAGGCAAATGTGTAAATGTAGGGATATCGTAGAGAATGTATTGATGGAAGGATTGTTAATCTCAGCGTAGACGGAGAGATTTCTTTGCCAGGGATTCAGAGCTGAGGCTAAGCTGTTGTGTTTCGTTTCTGTGAACGAATAGCAGATACTCATAGTCGTGGCAAAAAGCGTCATTTTTGCGAGAATCGCAAAGCATAGAGAAAGCCATTTGCATCTATATTTTCAAGCAAGTGAGCTGATACTGGTCTCTAAGACGGAAAAAACATCGTGGACAGGTCTTTAGAGCATGTTAAAAATACTGCAGAGCATAGGGTAATCGATCACTGAATGTGTGCACACGTATGCTCCTGTATTGTAAATTTGACAAAATATGCCCTTCACTTCAGAAGCCTATGGACTTTCAATCTATATTATTTGTACTCGATTGCCACCATGTAAAAAACTCGAATTTTGCATTGCCCTAACATGACAATTATTTGAATACAGAAATAGTAATACAAGTAGATGAATAAATGTAGATCATAATAACTAATTAATTTTATAAATTACTTTATACTAGAATAATTGTCGTTAGGGTATTCAGTTTGCGACGTGAAAAAATATATGATGTTAGTGATCCTAAGGTGCTTATGTCCGCTGATCCTGCCTCAAGTATTATTTGTATTTGTAGTAATTTTGTAAATATTAATTTTTATACCAGTTACTCGTACAGTAAAAGCAAAGACACTAAAATAATAATAAGATGCGTAACGGCCATACATTGGTTTTGCACTATGCAGCCACTTTTTTGGTGGCGGCAATAATTGCTCTCTTCCCGTAAAATTGAGAGCATAAAAATCTAAAAATAGAATTCACTTGCTTGTGTGAGTAAAAACAGTAAACAAAAAAGTGTTTGTGTGCGTAGTTGTGCTAGATGACGATTTTCGGTCCGAAATAAATTTTGATCTAAGAAACGAATTTGATTGTTTTGGTCAATTTATGGCTAATAAAATATTATTATTATTATTTTCAAAAAATCGGAAGCTAAATCAGAGCATAAAAATATGCTCCTTGGCGAATTTAATTCTTGTCTTTATATATTTTTTTGTATGCTATATATATTCCACAAATATTTTTTTTTTTAATACGTCCCCTTATTGTCCTGGAAGACACATTTACTCCTTAGGTTAATGAAATTTCATTTCTAATCGCCCTTTAACTTCTTGCATTACCATTGTTTTCAATATGTTTCAATGCGTTATAAACTATTTTTTGAGAGCAGCCAAGATCCTTTGAAATGGATGAAATTGATTTTTCCGCTGATTAACTCACATTTGGCCAATTTACGCATTTAATTAAGTTTTATTGGAAAAGAGCAGAAAAAACTATAAATAGAACATCTTATGGAATATAGGCATGAGGTCTGCACACGCACGCTGTAAAAATGTTTGAGGTTTTTTGTATTTTTTTTGGAATTATTTTAAATAATTACTGTATTTTTCTGTTTTTTTTTTTTTTTTTTTTTTTTGGCACGTCGCAATATTCGGTTGAGCTATGAAAAATCTCGTCGGTATAAGCGGTTTGTCGCTAAAAGCGGAGACGTACTAACCGGAGGTCCTTTCATATAACTTTGTATGGGGACCATGAAAAAAAAGTTTAAATTGTTTCAAAAGTTTGGGCGGTTTGTGGACGTGGCAAAATCATTTAACAAACTTGCGCTGCGTCTATGTCTCTGAAATCTGCATAACTAATCTCAACTTTCTAGCATTTATAGTTCCTTATAGACGGATCTAGCATACCCCTTTACTCTACAAGTAACGGGTATAAAAATATAATATAAATAATAAAAAAGGAGCAAAATAAAAAAAAAGCAATAGTTAGAAAACTAAAATAGGGAAATGACGATGTAAGTTAAATAACTTTAATAACCTTTTCTTAAGTTACTAAGACATAGATCGGTACAATACTAGAGTCCAACAATAATTCACATTCTGATTAGTAAATCTTCCTAGAGCAAGAGCATGATATGAAAGAGCAATGGCCTGGGAATTCCTGCAAAAGTATTATATATCATATATGTACATAAATACATATATCTTGATCAGATCTCTAACCAAGTCGATCTGGTCATGTCGACCTGCTCATCCGTATAAAGTTCGAACTCTCGGGAACTTTAAATGATATAATCTTGGGACTTGGATTACAGATTATAGTGACGCCAAATTAATTAAAAGTATTAGAAAAGAAGTCATAGTTTTGTTGTGTTTGTCATAAATTTTATTTTATTTATCTTATTTGATTTTTTTTAATGTAATATTACTGCAACTAATGTTTAAATACCAGTTATTCCTAGAGTAACCCAAAAAAGAATGTAAATTCCGTCTGTCTAGAGACGTTGATTTCTTTTTATTTTGTTATTTGTTTTGCAGATTTCTATCAATAGCCAAAACCAATTTCGGCTGCGCCCGCAAGCCACCTGAGGATTTTCCCAAAAAAATTTGGCCTACACGAATACCGGTAAACCGCACACAGCCCTTACGCCCAATATTTTTAGTTAATTCTAACTAACAATTCCAACAAATGTATCTGCCACCTGGTTGTGCTACTAGCAATCTCGAAAGGATTATTTTCTTAGCAAATGAAAATCTCCCACCAGCTGAGTCTCTGAAAGTCGACTAACTGAAGAATAGCATCCTTTCCCTTTTTAACATAGGTTTGGCAGAGGCCTCTAGTTTTGGGAAAAAAATTGGAGTATGGGGCTTTTTTCATAGCACGACCATCTCACACAACTAACAACTCCTATAGATGCCCAAAAATCATCACCTGACACTAACGCACTTTTCACATTTTTGTTTTTCAGAAGAGGCATACAAATTGTTAGTTTAGGAAAAGTGGAATAGGTATCACCAGTAATAATTTTTGGACATCAATTAATTCGTTGTTAATTTTTGAAAATCGGGGCCACATTTCCAATTGTAGTTTGGTTGTTAAGAAACAACAGCTTGCAAAACGCTATAACTCGATTTAACACAGTACAAACACTTATTCTTCGTTTTATTCGATATCGATAGAATAACCGCTAAGTTTATCTAGGCTTTTAAGATGATAGCAAATGGCAATCCCCAAACCATTAATATATGAATAACATCTAGTTCTCGAACAAGAAGTTCTTAAGGAAATATAAGATAAGGTTAAATACTAGAACCAATTAGTATAATTATTTATTTTAAAAAACATTAATTGGCAATGTTTAATATATTTTTACCAGAAGTAGGGAAAATTATTGGCTGGATTTCTGGCTGTCCTTTTCGAGTAACGAGTTTGTAAACCACATCAAAGAACACGCCCGTTGAATAAATTCACAAAGGTCGGAAGTCCACAAAGTTGGAGCAGATGAGTTCGGTGGTGCTGAATGTCCAATTTATTTATGGTTGTATTCTTGCTGAATATTCGCCTTAAGTCCGACGCTAATTTTATAAAAAAATTAAACAATTTTGGGCACTAAAAATTGTCTTGTTTTTGACATATTTCCGTACAAGTAGTTTGGAAGTTATCAAGAAAAAAAACCGACAGCAAAAGAAATTCGACTAAAAATATACACTTTTTAAAATATTCTTTTTCGATACGCTGCAATAAAAAATGTACCACGAGAGAAAAAAAATATTTATATAAGCGTACTGAACTATTATATATTAGTATGTACGTACTTCATTACAATTGTTGATATCAGTACTTTCGTATGTTAAAGATGATATTGTATGTACATATGTAATCACTTTTTGTTTGATGTGCAACACATGCTCAGTTTGTAAATCGGATGGACGTCATTGTAAGCTATTTTAGTTATTTATATTTGATATTATGTACATATGTATATATATATGTAGTGAGGTAACTTTGTCTAAAAATGATCTTGCTCAGAACCTTCCTCCTAGTTATTTGAGAATATTCATACATACATATGTATGTACAACCATATCAACTGGAACAGTTAAAGAAAATCATTGATATATGTATACGCATACATGTAGTACCTTCAAAATGTCCTAAGCTATTTTATACTTACATATCTTTATTTTGTTTGCCTACATATGGAAAAAAAAGTAATCGATAAGCCCCATTAACTATATACATACATAAATCTATGTTTCGAGTCTTAAAAGTATATATAGTTAATGCTGAAAACCATAACATTAACTTAGTTAAGCATTGGTTTGCTTTCTTACCTGAAAGGTAAAAGTTGTTAAACTTTTGCGCTAAGATCAGCAGCCGCGATAGCTTTACTTCGGTTGAAGACATTTAAACTATGTAAGTTCTGATCGTATGTAGAGAAAATAGCTCTACTAACGCCGGTTTATTTTGTACCGCTTTTCCAAGGAAAAAGTTTGTTTTTTCGTTATAGCCCACAGCAAAAACTTTAACAACCACTTTCAACGAATTTGCTAGATAATTGTTTACTATTTTAATCAATTTTGAAGTGGCAATTCTTCATCAACCAAAAGGAGCCCAAAAAATAATGATAACACAGACTGAACTAACAAAGGTGAATAATGTAGAGCTTCACTCAATGGTCGTAAGCGTTTTCCAGCACTTAATGAGGACAAGAGATTCCGTATAGAGATGCTCTGTTAGCCCTAAAATATTAATAAGTAAACGGAACCTAACTTGATGCCTCTGATATTTGAAAACTGTGTTTGCGTGCAAAATATTAGCTACTAAGAGCGGGACAGCTATGAATAACAATACAGATATTTGTTTTATATCTGAGTGTTACTGATGTAACAGCTACACAGTATAACTAAACCGATCCAGAATTGTTCTTATTCACTTTTAACTTACAAAATTTTTTACATAAAATCTTACGAAAAAAAATTGTAATGTGGTCAAATAATTAAATTGTTTCATAAATATTAATAATAACAAAATAGGAATAAATATTTAAAAGCACTAAATAATCGTTTCACACTTTTCATATCTATTTAGAATAGTGCTTAGAATAATTCAGATATTCAGAGCCAATGAGTAGCCGATTGCTTTTTGATGATCCCAAAATAACTTTCTCATGTCAATACGCTTAAAGTTCAAAACATCCATATCAACAATAAAAATAGATAAAATAGAATATATAATATTTAATTTCTCCATCCTCCTCTTTGACAAATCAGCGGCATGAGTCTTTTTGACTCGAATGGAGAAAATTTGATACCAATTTTGATAAGTATAAGTATCCACTATAAGTAGATGCTTTGCATCTTATTTTATAGTATGAAATAAGTGATTGAAGTGCCTTGATGTTTAGATTACGACTATAATTATACAGTTGTTGTTATTTTTTAAATGTTTATTTTTCAATAAAAAAGACAAAAACTGTATATTTTTTAAACAAAACGTCTTCAGCTTGCGAATCGCAATTGTTTTAGTGGAAACACTTAGTCAGTTGTTAAAGCGATATCGATATGAAACTGTCGTTTGTAAGTGGTACCCTTTACTTAGTTAAATCATTGCAAAATATCTGAAAGCAAAAATAGAGTCATGTAGCGGGCACAAATCGAATGTTTTAACAACAGTGAAGTTGTTCCTAACAAGAAGAGTATAGTTTTAGAGGTTGGACACTATGTTGAATTTTTTGCTTGTATTATTTTAACGAACTGTTTAATGATTTAATTACACTTCGAGTCGGAACCTAAGAAAAATAACATACCAAAATTTCCGAATTTTTGAATGGTACCACCAGACAGACTACATCATATACAAAAATTGTGCAGACGATATTGGAATCTGCAATACGCTGTTTCGACATTCATTCAGACGGACGGCGAAGAAACAGGCAGACGGACTCTATAAGTAGGGCAAGCAAGTTATTTCATATCGTTTTCAGCTTTTATTTTTTCAGCATAATTATCTTTTTTATCTTTGGCAGTGCAGTTAGCTTAGTCTTATTATTCCATTGCAGACTACCCCAAACATTAAATCGATAAATAACGACATCTCCCAACACTAAATCATCTGCATTCAGCAAGGCTAAAAGGTAAACAAAGGCTTAAACATAAATAAAGGCAAGGCGGCCATTTGGTCGTATTTGTGTTCGCTTGTCATCCATTTTCTTGCTTTTAGTCTCGATCGCCAACTGCGAAGTTGAAACGTTTTAACCGGAAAATAACTCCCTACTCGAATATGTTTCATGCATATTCTATTTTTCCCATTATTCTGTATCATTTTCGTTCATTCTAAGTATAATTGTGAGCTCTGAAAGTGTACCGTTATTTTGCTTTGCTTTTTTCTTTGAAGTGCGACAAAAATGCATACAGCCGATTAGCACATTTTCGCTTTCATGTGACTTTTTTCGTGTAAGCTGCCGTGATTGGGTTTATTATTTATTTATTGGGACTAATTATCAATAAAATAAAGTAGTAATGGGCAAAGGAAAACCGTTGGACAAGTCTGAAATCTGCAAAATAAAGGCTTACAGGGAGTGCGGGCTGTCTATTCTTCAAATATTAAAAAATAATAATAATAAATAATAATAATAAAGCGCAGTCGTAAAGTTATTACCGCATACTTAAGCAATGAGGATACATATGGGAAAAACATTAAATGTCGGCCATCATCAGTAATAACACCATCTGACAGGCGAATCACACTACGACACGCATCTAATTCCCACGACTCAGGAAAAAACTGGTGTTAGAGCGTGCGTTCGGACTGTGCAAGGAGTTATTTTGAATGCTGAACATATAAAGCATTTAAAATTAAAAAAAAAAATCACCTCTAAACCAACTTAGAAAGATGCAACGACTCAATTTCTGTCGATCAAATATGACCTGGACTAAGGAGTGGGAGCATGTAGTCTTTTCAGATAAAAAAAAGGGTCCTGACGGACCTGATCTCAGAAAGGAAGAGCAGGTGGTGTCTATAGGGGGGTAGCTATAACATACCTTGGCACTATAGAACTGCAGTTTCTTACCAGCCGTATAAATGCCATTGCGTACAAAGGTGTACTGAAAACGGCTTTCCCAGCAATCAAGGATATTTTTGGACCCTTGAAATGGAAGTTCCAGCAGGACAACGCACTTATCCACACAGCCAGGATTTTAAAGTCCTGGATTGATGGTCAAAACGTGGAATTACTGACTTGGCCGCCATACTCTCCCGACCTAAACATTATAGAAAATGTTTGGGGATGGCTGGCACGAAAGGTGTACGAGTCCGGCAGGCAGTATTCAACTCATTAAAGGAATAAAAAGGTCCTGGGAGGCTGTTTCAATCAATTATAAAAAAAATTATATGACTCCTTACCTCAGCGGATGTACGAAGTCATACTTAAGCTTGGAGGCTCAACACATTATTAATTTGTTTTCAAAAAACTAAAAAACAATTTGAATAAAGTTTGAACCCCTTTTATTTTGTTATTTTAAGTTTTCAAGTAACTGGGCTAATCGGCTGTCGCAAAAATAATAGTGAATTTTGAATGTTATGTTTGCTTACATTAATTTAAAATTTTATTTTCGTGTGAAATTATATATTCTTTTAAGGGAAAAAAAATTATTTGATAAGCTTTTTTAGTTTTCCTGATATTAAGTTTCTAAGACAAGCAGCAAAGGGAGTGCTAATCGCAAGGAGTCTACCCTCACTCGAGAAGGATAAAATATATTTAAAATGTCCACCCGACCATTTCCCATTGAAGAGTGCCCAATAAATAGTATAAGTTTATATCACAACTTTTGTTATTGAAGGTGCGATAGTCTTTTACAATTTGTCGATACGACATCGATACAATTTGACAAGAAACAAGGGAGAACGCTATAATCAAAAAAATCGACTACAGCGTTCTCTTTTGTTAATTTAGGGTTCTCACCCATCACATGCAAAGCCTACTAGACTTAGGGTACAGTACGACCTGGCATGTGCATACTTCAGGCAATTTAAGTATTGCACTTACCCGTCCCGCTAGTGCGGCCCTTCTAGTGTAATTTGAAAGTGTGCCACATATTGCTCTCTCGCACTTAACCATTTAGGAAAAGAAGATTCAGAAAGCATTGGCCGAGAATTGCAGTTATAAAAACCCAGATCAGCTCTCTGAGTGAATTATCACCAAATGGAACATGATGTAAAGTCAGCATTATCGCGTATGCCAAGTGGGCTTGCTGACCGAAATATTATAGCTTTATATTATATGCCTCGGCTTGCCGGTGGCTTTATATTTAGTTTTGAATGAATTGATCAATAAGTCGCATAAATAAATATATTATTTCGGCAATTGTCGTAACTATCTATATTTTATTGTTGTCTAGTCCAAGACTGGAAACAGGAGCTCACTTAAATCATCAGTTCCATCCACGCAAAGCCACACCAGGATCAAGGACTGCTGCACGGGACTGAATTACATTAATTGGCGCGCAGATGATTAGAATCTACAATAAAAGATTTTAACATGTATCTGAAGTGTTTAATAGTACACGAAATTAATTTAAAAAAAAATATTTTAATTTTTCAAAGGTAATTGTGAATAATAATCCTTTGATTATGCACTAAGTCAATTCACTTGATTCTTACAAATTTTAGCCCTGTGACGCTTATAACTAATCGGCCTAATATAACCGTTTGTGAGTTTGGAATTAGTTCTAGAACCAGCACAAAAAAATCGTGTGAAAAAGATAGTATGGCGTTAGGCATCTTGTTAGTCTAATGTCTTTGCCGCAACTCTTCAGCGTTGAGGAGAGCCCACCGCTCGAAGGTGTAGGAGTAGTCGAATCAGTACTTAAATCTAAGTGAAGAACGCAAAAATTCAATGTCATGTAGACAGGGCTACAAAAATGAATGTCACGTATCGCAAATGGGCAGAGATTAGGAAGGGAATTTCTGCGGGTAGATTTCCCATAATTTGAGTCATTCGTCGAGCCTTGCTTTTAAAGCTGCGCACACATTACACGAACTGTCTGACTGCAGAGTTTCTGAGCATTTACGTTGTCGTACGATGCTCATAAGTGCTCGAGGGACGATACAAAAGCTGAATGGTGCAGTTGTCGGACTAGCTGTGCACAAATTGAGAGCGTTTTGTCATCAGCAAGGATAGTTGGCATCGTATGATATAGGAGCGTTAGCTAGTCGCCTCCAGCTCACAACAACGAAAAGTTGCACAAGCTTCCCGTGTCCGCATGAATGAATGGGTTTCAACTCTGGAGACTTGGGCCAACCTTGGAGCCCATGCGAACTCTTTCAATTTCTCTTTGATACTCGTGCTTTTTACTATTTCGATAATGTTATGAAAACTTAATTATATTCAGTCGATGACAGAGTTTCATAGAAAACTATACTCTGGTTATTGGATTTTCTTATAAAGAGGAAAATATAAGCAAACACTCTAAGCAGTTTGCGGTGTGACGAGAATCCCTCGATGACCGCAGTCTTCCTTGCTCCCTGCGTCAGCAACGGGATGTAACTGTACCGGTGACATCGGGTCGGTATGCACGAACCGAGGAATATATATCCAGTTGAGACATAATGCTTTTTAGCATATTCAAAACTGTTTCCAAATGTATTAGAATTGACTCATCCCAATCTAACTTTTGAAGCCAAAGTTCCTGCAATAGGATCTTTCCTTTGATCAGAATGGGACCGATAGGGGTCAAACCGAGGGGGTCAAACAGCTTCGATGTCACTGATACATACTATCGTATGTTCCGTTTTTGACAGAACTATTAATTATGAACGTGAAGGCATATTCGCTAGGCAACCCCGACATTCCTAACGCTCATCAGAGCGATCAGAGATCGGTATCGACTTAAAAGTGCTCTCAGATGCAGTGAGCTCCGGTAAGTTTGAAACCCCCTTTATCAATTAAAAACCTGCTTTTTGAAGAACTTGCGACACTTCAGATTGATTGTCTTTAACTCCTTTACGCATACAGCACTTACATCGACGTAAAAATCGGATACAATTACGTCGGCAGCTCTAGGTAATGAAAATCTCAACCTTTTTGAACACCGAATAGAGAGCTGAGCTGTTCTCAGGCATTGTGTATCTATGTGGAAGAATGTGGTGAGCATTTTGAAACAGTATGGCCTTTTCGCAGACAATACATAAGAAGGCAGAATAAACAAACTCGAACCTATGCAATACATTCCAAGCGCTCTAACAGTTATTCAGTAAATGATCTGCTGCATTGCAAAAACTACAAGTTTGCTGAGGCTTGCTGTTAGAGGAGGAACACGAAATTGAGCTACGATTATGTGGCTTGCTCGAAAAAATTTGTCAATCAAACAATTTTTGATCATAATGATTTGAAATCTGTATTTATTGAACACCTCACAGAGGCCCCTATTGAAAGCATGTTAAACGGGTCTAGAAAGATAATCCTCCAGTTTATTATGATTTATATCATTCGCATATTAATAATAATTTACATACCATTACATTAATATTGAAAAAGGCTACCCCTTTTCCGGTATTTTTTATAATCACTGTATAAGTTAACTCATATAGAGTTAAGTTAAGTTAGTTCAAACAGAACTAGTTTCAGTTTGACAAATTTGTCCCTACCGAACTTCGCCTGCCCACCTATGCTGCTGACGTCGATGCTGCTCTGCTCACGGAAATTGGGCAGACGCTACGTCTGCACATTTATGTTGTGCAGGTGCAACGTATGTTCCGCAACCGGACGCTCGTGCGATCCCACGAGTGTTTCGCAAGCGGATACGCGTGCAGCTCCAAATGTTCTTATCAAAACATTTGTGGTGTTAACTCTTCCACCTACAAAAACGATCGTCCCTGTTCGTTCGGCAATGTTGATCTCTCCCCTCGTCTTGATCGTCATTTGGATTAGGGCCAAGATGATAATGATGGTAATAACGCCTCCAAAAGATATGTCGACCAGGTGTGATGTCGTCTTCACTAAACTTATCGTCTTGATGTTTTTCGCATTTAATTCTTTCATCAGCTCCAATGATAATTTCTCTTCGACTTGGGTGATGGCCACTTCAGTTTGCAAGATTGCTGGCATTGGCTTGGCGTAGACGGCATCTTTTGCTTTGAATTTTTGACCCTTTGCTTCTATGGTGGAATTGTTGTAGGTTACGAGGAACGTACCTTTGAGGTTGGTGGTCGTCCCGTCAATATTTATTGTGCCCGTGAAGCTGTTCAGCAGGGTGGGCCCTGGTAGTCTAACTTAACTCTTCCACCTGTAGGACGTGTTGGTTTTTTGTTTTGGTGCAGTTGGCAGGTTTCCCTTTTAGTAAGTTTGGTAGGCAGGGCGAATTGCTTTTGTTTCTTATACTTCTATGAAAAAGTAAAGTTTTTCCTTACATTTAATTATATTTTCGCTTTCTATTTTATTGACATATTGTTCGATTCTAAGTGGCTTAATTAATATCTCGCTGCAAAGATCGGAATTTGTTATAGGAATTTTTATGAGGTATATTAACATTGGACCATTGCTATACCTATCTCCGCTATATGCAGTGCTTCTTCGAAATTGACATATGGCATTTGATCTGTTTCTAGTACCTTCTTTATCTGTCTAGTTTCTTCCTCGCCTAATATCAGAGGACTG